CCAAAAAAAAAATAATTTAAATATTATTAAACTATGGAAATTGTATCTAAGCTTCTGTGTAAGGATCAGTGGATCTCCAACAATGCTATGATAATTTGCGTTTAATTCGAATTTTATAAAACTTAATATGTTCTCTCTTTAATAAAGGCCTCTGGAGAAAATGCTACCCAAAAACTGCAGGTGGAGATATTCTATGAAACCTTATGCCCAGATAGTATGCGTTTCATACGCAATCAACTTTATACATCCCTAAAATCTAACGAATGGCTTCCTTATACCGATTTACAATTTATTCCCTATGGAAAAGTTGGTGTAAGTTTTGTTACAACAAAAGAATCAATAATAATATTTATAACACAGTGCGACAAAATTACAAAAGTCTCCTCATGACCTAGTGCAGTTTATAGGTCTAGTAGAGTGATTCACAATATAATATTTAGAATTTTTAATATACCCCAATTCAGTTCCTTATAACTCACTTATTTTCTTAAAGATTGCAAAAGACATTGTCTTTTCAAAAAAATTAAAACGTATTAAAGAAATTTGATAAATAAAATTTAAGTCCGACAACAATAAAAAATCCGTTTTTTGGATATAACTCCCGATTTAAGGGGTATATTAAAAATTCTACATATGGTAAATATTAGTCACATGTTGAGTAATTTTTTGCTGTGACACAGTGTAAATTAATCAAAAATCCTATCTTTGAAGGTTTGGACAGATCCTGATACAAATATAACCAATCTCTATTGCCAGCATGGTCAAAGGGAGTGTGAATTAAATGCTCTACATGCATGTATTGTGGAGCATAATACAATAGAAGAACAATTGGAAATGTTTAACTGTTTACTTAATGGTTATTCCACGGATGTTGATGTGGTAGGTAGAAAATAAGCATTGTCGTGAAATTTACTTTCCGGGAACAGTTTATCACAATTGTTGAAAATATTCCAAATGAAAAAAAGTTTTAAAAATGTAATATTAAATGCACGGATATCTAGTAGATGAGTTAATCCCTTAACAAATATATTTCTTTTATGCTTATTTTTAATTTTAGTGCTCTAAACGTTTGAATATTGATGTAAGCGCTGCTAAAAATTGTAAAAATACACGCACAACATATGACATTTTGAAAAAATATGGCGATAAAACGGATGCTATTGAAATTTCATTTGTACCCTCAATTGCCATGGGTGGGGTAAGTTGTTTAGAAGGATAGTGGTTGGTTTGTTATGGCTTTTTACTTAAAGTACATTCCTTTCCATAGTCCTTTTCCTTTTAATCATGTTTTTACAATTGTTTCTTTATTTTTTTAAGGTATTTGATCCTTGGAAACAGCGTGCCATTTTACATAATTTCTCTAGAGTATTTTGTCGTAAATATAAAGAAAAATTTGATGTTATTTTAGAAAAATGTTAAAAAAAAGTTTATGTTATTAAAATGTATTAAATAAAACTGTACAATCAGCATTTTTATTAACTTTGTACTAACTTTATTTTTAAATCAAATAAAAAAATTTTACTATTTATTTAAAAAAAATAATAAAAATGTAACAAACCAAATTGCGAAATACATATCACAAAAAATAAAACACACATCAACGCAAGGCATAATTTTAGCACAAAAACTCTCTTTCGTATCACTACATACATTTAAGATTAACTATTTGAAAAGTAACGAATTTTTTAAGGTGAATTTCTTTCTAGGAAATTTAACGTAATATTACCATTTTAGAACCTGAAATTGAAACTAATTTCCCTTTTTAATTTCAACTGGCAATGTTGTATCTTATAAATGTGTTGCCAACAGCCTAACATCACTGTTTATTTACAGCTGTCAAAAAATTTCCCTACGATTTTTGCATGTTTTCATGGAAAATATATTTACTCTGGCAATGCTACGCTTTCGTCAAGCATGTTATTTCTTTGCTTTTATTTACCTAAATTTTAGGTCCTAAAACATGAAAATTAAGACATATTAAATATCTACCTTTTTTATTACTAATTTATCACTAAATTTCCTTCAAAACTTCTAAAAAAAATAAATTTCCCTCTCTTTGTTGATTTTCGCAATCTCTTTTGTTTTCATTTTTCTCATTATGACGCAAAAAATATACCATCTGGCAATACTGCGTTTTTTCATGTTTCTTTTCTTTCGTAAATCGTATTCGGGATTGTCACGTCAATTTCAGTCCGGTCAATAAGAAAAATTAAATTTTCTTTGGAAATTGTGAAAATATTAACAAAAAACAAGTAAAAATTGTTGAAAACTATTAAGCAATGACTGAACCATTAAATGCTGGAGCGACGACGGTGCACTTTGAGAAGCCATCAGTGCAATTCAATGAAAATGGCTGGGGACCATGCGAGTTGCCCGATACATTTAAAGATGTGCCATATCAGCCATTCAGTAAAAGCGATCGTCTAGGAAAGATTTGTGATTGGACTCAATCCAATAATGATAAGAAATATCAAAGTGAGTGGTTTGCAAAAATATTACATTAGTCAAAGAAAAATTAAATGAAAACTTTGTCTACGGAAAAGTGAGGTTATGTGCACACAACAAAATATGTGGCAGCCATTTTTTGGAGTGACACTGTGTGATTGTGTGTGCAAAAACAAAAATTTCCCTTATGCAATTTTTTTCAATTTGACATTTAAGGCAAAAGGGAAATTTAATAAAAGGCGTTTTAAAGAATACGAATAACAAAACAAAATATGAATATAAACAAAAGACAGCTGTTTAAGATTTTTTTTGTTTGAAATCACTTTAATAATTTTTAATTATTTATTTTTAGACAAGTATGCCTCTGCATTTGGTACCGGCAATCAATATGCCTACTATCATGAAGAGGATGAAACTACCTTCCATTTGGTCGATACCGCACGCATTCAGAAACCACCTCATCAACGTGGCCGTTTCCGTAACAATTTGCGTGGTTCTAGGTTTGTACTTATTGTTTAAATATGCATTTACTTTTTAAATGTTAATATTTCATTTCAATTTAATAGAAATGCCCGTGGTCGCAGCAACCGTGGTGGTCTTACCAATACCATGACCACTTTAGGTGGCAAAAACAATAAAACTCGTGATGCTCGTCGTGGCGTCAACAAGAAGTTTGGCTCTCGTAATGCCCCACCCAAGATGCGTGAATCATCGGTGGCGGTACGTGCCGACTGGACCTCAATTGAAGAAATGGACTTCCCACGCCTGATGAAATTGTCTTTGCCCAACATTAAGGAGGGAGAGGATATTGTGACTTGTGGTACTTTGGAATATTACGACAAAACTTACGATCGTATCAATGTTAAGAATGAAAAACCTTTGCAAAAGATTGATCGTATTGTTCATACTGTAACAACCATTGACGATCCCGTTATTCGTCGTTTGTCCAAGACTGTGGGTAATGTTTTCGCTACTGATGCCATTTTGGCCACCATTATGTGTTCGACTCGTTCAAATTACTCTTGGGATATTGTTATTGAGAAGTTTGGTGAGTAATATTTCTTACAATAATTTTTATTTATAACTAGACTGAGATGCAAAATAAAAATAGAGTTAAAAAACATACTATAATTATTATAACTCCTTTCAGGTGACAAAATCTTCATGGATAAGCGTGACAATACTGAATTCGATTTATTGACTGTCAATGAGACCTCAGTCGAACCCCCAACCGATGACGATAGCTCCCCCAACTCTCCCCGTAATCTGGCCATTGAAGCTACTTTTATTAATCACAATTTCAGTCAACAGGTGTTGAAGACAGGACCCAATGAATCGAAATACAAATTTGAAGAGGCCAATCCCTTCATTACCGAAGACGAAGACATTGAAGTCGCTAGTGTTGGTTATCGTTACAAGAAATGGAATTTGGGTAGTGATATTGTTTTGGTTGCGCGTTGCGAACACGATGGTGTCTTACAAACACCAAACAATGAACCTCAATTCTTGTCCATTAAGGCTTTGAATGAATGGGATTCGAAATTGGCAAATGGGGTTGAATGGCGTCAAAAGTTGGATACACAACGTGGTGCTGTATTGGCTAATGAATTACGTAATAATGCCTGCAAATTGGCCAAATGGACTGTGCAAGCTGTGCTCGCCGGTTCCGATCAACTTAAGCTAGGTTATGTCTCACGTATCAATCCCCGCGATCCCTCACGTCACGTCATCTTGGGCACCCAACAATTCAAGCCCCATGAATTTGCCACTCAAATCAATTTAAGCATGGACAATGCTTGGGGTATTTTGCGTTGCATCATCGATATTGTTATGAAACAAAAGGATGGTAAATACTTGATCATGAAGGATCCTAACAAGCCCATGATCCGTTTGTACGATATTCCCGACAACACCTTCGACAGTGATGATTCCGAAGATGGTGAGGGTGATGATGGTGAAGGCTTCCAACCTGTTTACGCTTATGGCGGTGGTAATAAATAAGTTAATTAAGCATAATTTACTACATACAATTACTGTGAGAGTGTGAACGTCGTGTGTGAGCAAACACAAGAACAACATAAGTAAATAAACAAACAAACCCTATTAAACTGAGGAAAAAAGTCGTCAACAATTAAGATTTATAAGCATTTTTTTTTATAAATTGTAATTTTTCTTTTTAGTTATATTTTATAAATTATTTGTTTAAATCAACCACTACTTTTTGTAATCAGTTATTTTGTAATACTACATACATACATAAATTAATAATATGAAAACAATAACAATATTCCCTTTAAATAATCAACTCTATAAAAAGTGTTGCTTTAATACAAAATTATTAAATAATAAAAAGAGATACAAAAAAACATGCATCGGTATGTTAAAGCAACTAAAGACAAAACGTGTGTGTGTTTGTTTTATTGAGAAAGGATAAATTAAAAAGAGAAACGGGAGATTTTTACACTTTAAGTTGCAATAATTTCAAGAAAATATAATAAAATTTTGGAAAATAATTTTGACAATTGGTTTTAAAAAGTGGTCGTTTTTTATACGATAATGAAATTGATTCTAGAACGGATAACTTTGGATCCATGGACAATGCAAATTTTGTCGAAAAGTTTAGTATTTTGTCAGCTTATAAGAAAAACGATAAATACGATTTACACAAAGCTTTCTCATAACATATAAGACTATTTTCTTTTTTAAATTTCACCATAAATTTTGGAAAATTGTTTGAACAATTAAAGTTATTAAACTTTTAAAGAAAACATCTTGTTTTTTGATGCATATCAAAATTTTGTTAACATTTTCACTTTTGTGCTATAAATCACAGATTCAAATTGGTCTCAATAAAACACTGTAGAAAAATGCATGTCTTGATAACTAAAAACTTTTGTTTTATGATACTTTAGAAGCTTATAATAGTTCTTCATTACAAAACTTTAAAACATACCATTTAAACCTGTCACCATGTAAACCTAATTACTTTCTCTATAATCGAACACAAAATTACTAAAATAATAAAAAAAAAGTACCTTACAAAATACGCACACAAACAAAGAACATTTTCAAATAATTAAACAAAAATTTATTTAAACTTTAACATTAGATTCTATAAAATATTCAATCGTATCTTAGAAGCTTGCACATTTGAACTAAAACAAGTGGGGTGTATGTACTCGAATAAAAATGTATGCTGAAAAAACACAAACATTTCAACCAATAATACGAATACTTATACTAAACTAAAGCTTATATATTTTTTAAATTAGTCTCAGATTTTCTTTCACATATCAATTTATGGAGATTAAATACAGTACAATAATAATATTCTTATATTAAAAGATTTAGCTTTTTTTTAGTCTCTGGTCAAGTCGCAACAAGTTAAGTTCGTCGTCGTCTGTTGTTTTCAAGTTTAAGTAGAATCTTATGAACTTGAATATTTTGTAAAATACTCAAAACAAAGAATACAACAAAAGCTAATATAGTGTAGAGAATATGTATGGGATTCTCTTTAGAAATGTTTTTCTATTGATTACATTAAGTTGTGTCGCTAACGCGGGTAATTAAATGATTAATTAAATAAATAAATGAATAATTTAGAAAAAAAAACACTAAATATATTAAACAATGTTTGCCAAATCAAATACAGCTTAAATAATGTAGTATTAACAACAAAAAAGTCAATAATTTGTTTAAAAAACATTCTACATATTATATACAAACATTATTCTAATCTATTAATAAATCAAGTATTATACGGTTAATACCACAGATGCTAAAGTTTGAAATTGTTTTGAAAATTAAATATAACATGTTAATAATAAAAATACATATTTTAAAAAAAAGTATGTACTCTGTATATAACAGAAAGAGAATGATTGAGATAAAATATAGTACTTGATTTTACAAAATGTTTACAGCATTTTATTTTGTTTATTTATGTTTTCATATAATTTAGCTAAATAAATAAAAAACGTTTAAATATTGTAATAAACTTTTCAAAAAAATTATAAAATTAAAAAATTTGGTTTAATAATTAAAAACACTTCGTTATCTGTAGGAGATTTACATAAAATTTTCAATACAAAAAAAGTGAATAAAAGAACGAAAATAAATGAAACTTATTTTTAAAATGATAAGAAATATATCGTCACCTAAAACGCAAACGGCCTTATCTAACATTTTTTAAATTTTACAGGAAAAGCAAAAAGCTATTTTTTGTTTTGTTTCTATCAGTGCGATTTATTTTTTATTAAACAATTATCATTTGTCATGATAGTTGACAATGGCCTATATAAAAATGGATAAATTGGACTTTTAACCTTTAATATTTAAATGTTTTTGTAGATAGGGCCTTTTGTTTTTTTTTTTGTCAATAAAATCGCAAATCTTGGTCGGAGGAGTCTCATTTTTTGTGTGAACATTTGTTTAGATGCAATACATTAGAATCAACAATAAAATTGAATTTGAATTTTTGATTAGTTAGGACCGTTTGCGTTTCAGGTGACGATATGTATGTATATGATGTTCAAAAACGCAAATACAATTGATTTTCTGTCCATACAATAATTTCGTTTATTGAAACACATCAACATTTTGTTTATTAACACTTTTTAATTTATTTATAAAGTGTGAGGTTTTTTTAAATAAAATTTTAAGTTAATGGTTGGCTTTAACTTACAAAAAATGATGCTTGAGTTACCCTTCTTAATATACATATATCTTGTTATGTCATAAGATATTTTCCAAAATATTTCGACTTTAGTGTTGGTCGTTTGTGAGCTGGTTCGTTTTCAAAAAAATATCCCAAAGGGGACATGATGTTACAAGATTAATTCAAAATTTAAAAAAAGCCTTTTATGATGATTCCCAAAATATTTTCATCTGAACCGATTTCTAAAAAATCAAAATTGTTGTAAATAACATAATGGGCTTTATAAATATAAAGGCATAACGAGGATCGGAGCTTTGCGGTTTTAAAACTTTTAACTCGTTTAAGCTCTGCCCGCTTAAATGCGCCAAATTTTATTTTAAACGTTTATGTATTAAGTTCTCTTTCCGGATCATATAAAAATATGGACTTTTCGGAAAAAAAAACTAAAAATAAGGCCCTTTTTACATGTTGCAACTTTGGATGCGTCTAACTTTTCATACGGACAAGATGACTGTTAAACCTAAATGGATCTTCCAATTCCTTTCATATGATACAAAAAAAAATATGTAAAAAAAGGACCTTTTCATCCTTTGATCCAGTATGCCAAATATTGTATGTATTAGCTTTCGAAATATGTACAATATATTTAAGATACAAATTGGAATATTTTTTATTTTCGAATTAAGTTATGTAATAATCCTCCAGAATTGCGTTAAATATGTTTATCAAACGAAATATATTCGAAAAACCTTTTATTTGATTGTCTAAATATAATCGAAAAATGTCTAGATATAACTTTGGAAATGGTGTTAATGTTAGTATAATCAATCATTTTTTTTTTTTTTTTGCTATTTTTAAACATGATTACCACTTTTAAAGTAACAGCTTATTAATATTTATTAAAGCTAACTAAAGAACATTTATTAAACATGTATGCAATTATTTTGGTAAAAAAAAAACTATTTCATTCTTTAATTTAGCTATAACAGCTTATGGCGTCTGTGTAAATCCTCGCCAAGAAACGGGCATCTGTATACAAATCAAAGATTGTGATTATTTTTTGGACATTCTAAATAAAACAGCCAGTAGCGGTATTAATCCAACCGATGCTAAATTTCTAAGGGAAAGTCAATGTGGTCAGGATAATTCACAGGATACATTGGCTAAGCAAGTGTTGGTAAGTTTGAAATTTAAAATTTAGAGAAAAAAATATATTGATTTGCAAAAATTTTTATTTTTATTAGGTTTGTTGTCCCGACAACTATCGCACTTCAGTTGCAACGCGTAGTGGAGCAACTGTAAAAACCTTACCCGGTAATGTTTTACCCGAACCTGGGGTGTGTGGTGAAATTTTATCAGATCGCATTTTGGGTGGTAATATAACGAAAATTGATGAATTTCCCTGGATGGCACTGTTGCAGTATAAAACAGGTTAGATGATCTAAAACTAATTGATTTGAAGTTATAAAAATATACAAAATTTTGAAGCTATAAAACTAAATCAAGTATATTAATCACTTTTCAAATTATGTTCGAAAAAGGTTAATAATTTTTTTAAAAGTATCATAATTCGAATTAAGTTTGAAATTTATCAAAGCTTTAAATACTTGTTATTAAAAAATTATTTCAAAATAAAAATAACTATACCTACCTCATTTTCAGGACCCGATCGTTATGGTTTATACTGCGGCGGAAGTTTAATAAATTCACGTTATGTTCTAACCGCTGGTCATTGTCTCAAACATCCCGATATGCCAAGCACTTGGGAATTACACAGTGTACGTTTAGGCGAATGGGATCTCACTACCAATCCCGACTGTGTTATAGATGTGCGTGGTCGCAAAGATTGTGTAGATCCCCACCGGGATGTACTCATAGATTATGCCATGGCACATCCGTTGTATGTGCCCACATCGAAGAATCAATTCAACGATATTGCTCTTATACGTATGGCCGAAAGTGTTAAGACGACAGACTTCATAATACCAATCTGTTTGCCATTGTCAGCTAATTTACGACAAAAACAATTTACTTCCACCGCCATGGACGTGGCCGGCTGGGGTGCTACCGAAAATGATACTGCTAGTACGATTAAATTGAAAATTATGGTCAATGTTTGGAATACCACTAGATGTCAGGATACTTATAATATCTTCAATATGCCCATCGATGAAAATTATCAATTCTGTGCTGGTGGCGTAGATGGTATTGATACGTGTCGCGGTGATTCGGGGGGGCCTCTAATGGTGACTCAACGCATCAAGAATAAAGATGTTTATTTTGTCATTGGTATTGTTTCGTACGGTCCAAGACCGTGCGGTCTTGAAGGTTGGCCGGGTGTTTATACAAGAGTTGGAAATTATACTGATTGGATTTTAAATAATTTATTACCCTAGTGTTAATGAAAAGATAATCGAGATTATACATATTATATAATGAATAAAACTATAATGTGGGGAAACATTTTGTAGTTGTTTTCAGTTTTTTTAATGTACATTTAGTTTACAAATTTTAACTGAATTCAAGGAGTCATTTCACGTAGTCGGAATGTATAATGCAATATTTGAATATTAGAAGTAATATCCTAGACTTTTAAAAATTGTTTAAATAATCTCTTGATCATGTTAAATTGTAAAAAATTAAACTTGAAAAATATTTAAAACCCTTTAATCTTGAAATTTTTTAAAATTTTGTACATAATTTGTTGAACATTCGTAGAGAAGGACATATGGGCATTAATAACGATTCAGAATTTATTATTGGCGCCTGGTTATAGATTGTAGATATGTCCTTAGGGACATTATGTGCCCTGTAAGGTGCATTATTGCTGACTAATTAGCTAGATTAGGTTCGAATTTTGACATATGTAGATGGCACTATTATAATCAAGAGAATCCGTGACATGATCAACTAGTTCTGAAATAGTAGAATAGATTGCAAAATAAAAAAGTCTTTATGGCCAACAATTAATGTTAGGACTATCAAAAGACTTATAGAAATGGATAGACGCAGTCTCAAGATTATTATAGGGATGCTAGCGGAGTATTTACTGGGAGTTTTGGGAAGACTGGGAGAGTCTGTCATATTTCTTTAGGAAATCGGGAATCTTATGTGTTGAAAACCCTTGGGAATCGATTTGTTTCCCTTCATCTCTCCTTTTTAACTATGTTCTTACTTCTTTTTCTGGTCTTGTTCACTTCTATGAAGGCAATCACAATATACCTTATGGTCTCCGAATGAAGTTGCGCCTTTTTATGGTGCATAACCCTTTTTAACATAAACCTCATTATTATTATGTCGTATGGTCCCTATGAGGAACAAGGAGCCACCACAAATTGGATCCATCTAGCTTTATCTCCCTCCAGCAAAGATCGCTTTGTAATATTTCATTCTCAAGTTATAGTCTCCAAGTATGTTGCGGACGACCTCTTTTACTTGTGTTACCCTGGCGTCTCAGTCAGGGTTCTGCGTAGCGTATGACCAACTCCATTTTCGAATGAGCAAATCAGTTTTTAATGAAGTTTGTTTGATTTGTCCTGCCTTAGAGCTGTTCTTTCGATATTATTGCAGCCCAGTCCTTAAGATCCTTAAATGACTTTTGAAAAATACTTACAGATTTGAACATTCTTCCAATAAGACACCATTAAAGCATTATACTTCCTCATAACATTCAAAATTTAACAAAAATTATGATACTCAGTTCATTTAAGATGAGTTGTAGTAAAAATTTCAAATATAATTTTTTTTTTTTAATAATTTAACGTATATTTGGCAAGCAAAAATAAATTATAAATTAATACAAAAAAGGAGTTTAAAAAAACATACTGATTTCATCAGATACAGCTCTTAGTATCTTAAATTTTAAATTAATATATAAATCAATACAAAAACATAAAGAAATTAAATAAAACAATAATAATAACAATAAATAATATAATAACAAAATAAAAAGCTTTTGAAAAAACTTAAAAGTTTTAGAGATTTATTTTTAAATTTAAAGAGTTAACGCACTGAAACAAATCCATCTTTATTTAAAGATTCATTTTCCATAAAAATCAAAAATTTAATGGACCTAAGCATCGTAGTTGCATTTTCTTAAGTAAGTCTATGACGGCAACTTTAAAAAATAGTTAAAATTGTTTAAAAATGAATTTTAATTCTCATATTGCAATATTATTTGTATATTAAGATAATTTAGAAACCCTGTTAGGCATCCTGCAAAGTATTTTATTCAGAGCGCTACTTAAGTATTAAATATTTCATAAAAAGTTTTTCTTTGAAGAAAAAAAAAACATAAATACAAACATAAAATAATACCAGGAATGAATTGAAAATTTGTTAAATTAAAAAAATACATATTAAATTAATACTGCTTTAATAACTAACTCAGAAATTTGTTCAAACTTTTCATTAAGTGTGTTTTTTTACGATGGACGCAAAACGATTTTTTTTTATTACATATTTAATGAGCTATATAAGAAAAACAAATGAAAATTTAAAAACAAAAAACACACGCATAAAAAAGAGAAGTTTCTTTTCTTAATTTAGCATATTAATTAAAAAATATATTAAATTTGTTTTTAGGTTTTTAATAAAGCATTTTTAACTATCATAAAAAGCGAGAATATTTGTAATTTGTTTAGTTTTAAATTGGAAATTCTTTCAATTTTTTTTATAGAGTATTTTTTAATAAGATTTTTTTCTTCTTCTTTTTGAATAGATAATATTATTTGAAATAGCTAATAAAATATAGTTTAGTTTAATAATATAAATTTACTAAAATATACAATATTATGTATTACGATTTAATGTGAAAATTTGACTTTAATAATAGAAAATACACAACATTTTTATTATTTAAATTTTCTTTTATAATATGTACTTTAAATAAGTGCTATTAGTGGCTGCCAAGGCATTAGCACCATTTATTACTTGGTTTCGTTTATTTTTGTTTTTTTTTTTAATTATTTTTCCTAAAGGCCTATTTTTGAAATTGAATTCGACTAAGTGTTTTTTTATTAAATAAAATAAGGCTATTCAAATATGGTTGTTGCATTGGTTGTAGTTTCCATTGCTGGTGTTGTTTCTGTGGTTTCGTTTAAGGAAGTTATTCTTTGTTTGAAACTTTCTAAGAGACCAGCCAAAGTTAAACAAAAACCACGACTTGCTGGTACCAATGGAAAATGCGGCAAAGAGTATTTAAGATCTGCATTTTCGATAGTATCTACAAGAAAGGTGCAATTATAACACAAAATGGTATAACCATACGTCAATTTAAATAATATAATACAAATTTTTTCACAAAAAAATTAATATTTTCAATAGCAGTTCAAATTTTCACTATAAAATATTTTTTTTTTAAACAAAAATTTAAATTTTTACTACAAATTAAAAAAAAAATCCAAAAAATAATTTTAAATTAATGATAATTTTCTTACCTTGATTCTGTTTAACATTTTCTTCATTAGTATTCGAATTTTTCTGTTTTGATAATTCCATCCAACCCTTTATACGCTCATACATTTTAAGACCATTTCGTTTGTAATGATTTAGAATTTCATCACGAAATATTTCTGGAGCATTTTGTATTAGTTTCGTAGTAGCCTGTACCATTTTAATAATGACCATTTCATTATACATGCGAGAATTTTCTTTGCCTTGTTGGGTGCCTTTTTTTAAATTAAAAAAAAACTCATAGAAAACAAAAAAATTAAGTTTTATTATTGTTAAAAACACACACCTTTTTGTTTTTCATAGCCAGCTTCATTAAAATATGGTTCTGGTACTAATATAAGACCCTGTATGGAAACAATCACTTGTAGTAGCGTGCTGTTGGGACCCCAGACTTCACTATCTTTGCCCATCCAAGTGCCCAACAAAGACACACAGACCTTACCATCTTCATATAGATTGGGATTAAGACGATCCGAACAGTAACTAATGTAATGACACAGTGGAGGATTTTTTGGATAGTCTCGTCCCAGTTGGATATCAAAGAAAAACATTCCATCCTCATAGGGTGTGTGTTTGGGACCCTCAATCATTACACTTAACAAGTCCATACGATCTTCATAAACTCTATAAGTTAAAAGAAAATTAAGCAAATTCCGGCACTAATTCCAAATGCAAATTTCCTTACTTTACATATACACCTGGAGGTAGAGAAGTTTTCAACATACGATGCTCACGTTGCACAGCCTTATAATAGAGTTGAGTGTTATTTGGATGGAAAATAGTTAATTGATATTTATGATTTTTCGGAGCATTAGAAAGAACTTGAAAACATTCCTGATTAAGACCAGCTTCCAATGTAGTTTGAACAGCCGTTGCAGGTGTTAAAATCGAGGCATCCGTGGAAGGTTCTAAAGTAGTATTTTCAGCAAACCCATTAGTTGCTGCTACAACATCTGATATTTTAACACCATCATCTTTAGTTTTATGGTCTTCCAACGATTCTTTATTGTCCTCAATATCAATTATAGTTTCAATAGTCTCATCATCTTTAACAATTACATCATTCAAATTCTGTTGATCATCTTTATAATATTTTTCACTTATTTCATTGAGACACTTGACTAATTGTTCATTGAGCAATGAACACAAACGTACACACACCAATTCCGGAACTTCTTCAGCCAATTCTATACTACTACTTGATTGATTAATGGATTTTTGATTATCATTCGCCTTAGTGAGAGAATTATTCGTATCGACATTGGTTAAATCCGAGGAACTAGTGTAACTAGTGGAACTACCATCACAATTTTCATTACGAGAATAGTTACCAGAATCATCTTGAGATGCAGCAGTCAAATGACTTGTTTTCTCAAAAGCCTTTTCGATATTCATCATAACCGAGTTTAAAAGTTGATTCTTTTCTGTATTGTATTGTTTATTTTTATTTGGGGAGATTTCCATTTGAGGTGACGGATTCTTGACTGCAGTAGGAAGATTATCAACAGCTGACTGTGAAGTTGTGTTGTCGCATTTAAAATGTTTTTCATTACCTGTAATGTTGGTTGCAGTTGTTGGCACATCTTCGGTCTTCTTAGTTAGAGTTTCTTTGGCAGATGGTGCTGTTGCTGCCGGAGAACAGCGTCTTTTTAACGATGATGGTGTGTTTAATTGAGCACTTGAATTGGTGTTGTGATTATGACTGTTGGGACACTTGAAAGGTGTTGATGAAATAGTAAAAAGTATTCGAGGGGCAAATTCTTTAGATGTTGAAGTCGTTGAACATGCTGTCGATGCACTTTCTAGTGGCTGCGATAGTGATGGTTCAACTTTATGTACATTGTTAGTAGGACCACTGATAGCACTATTTCCACTTTCCGTATTTCCCGAGACAGTTGTATTTTTACCAACACCTGCTAAACTTAAAACTATAGCACTATATTGATGTTGATACTGTTGTTGATGTTTATTGGGACTTGGTGATGAGACCTGTAATGTTTCGCTAAATAAACGGTTTTTTTGATCTTGTACGCGTTCGTGCATCGACTGAGAGCCAACTTTGCGAACACGTTCAATAAGACCCTTAGAGTGAATGAAAATAAGCAAAAAACCATGTTAATATTGTTAAAAATATAAAAACAATCATATTTTTTGTTAAAGAAACTTACCATAAAATTATCTTCATGGAAGAAATTTGTATTTAAAAGACGATCTAAAAACCGACAACTTTTATAAACCGATAGTAGTTTACGCATAACCTTAAACGATTTTATAAAATTAAAAAGAATTTCTTCCTAGAGACATTATCGCAATTTACCTCTGGATTTTGTAAATTTGGACTTATATTGAAAATCTCCTGTAACCGAGCGAGTGCCACACGAGCTTTTTCGATATTCGTTAAAATATGTGATTCAGCTATAGACAACTTAAGACTGCTTCCACCACCACAACCTACTTCACTATTTTCCGATTCTGTTTCCCATGAATCTTCGGAAGCGTGACTCAAATCGCCTTGATCCAATTGTCCTACCTCAAAGAGATCCTGTGGCCAACACAGACTGATGTGACCATCAACCCACCAGACTTTAACACGACCATCAATGTAATTATCAATAACTTGGCCAGCGGTACAGTTGGCATCTTCGCCAACAAAATTGGCAACACGTATAACCATGGTACCGGGACGATATTGAAAATCGGGCTGATCTTTTAGATCATAAACACTACATTCCGTTTCTCCTTTGTAAGTGGGTCTAGGAAAGGCAGAATGGTGAAAATAATAATAATAATATTTTAGTTTTTTGTAGCGTAGGTAAAATAAAAAAAATTGGATTGTGAAAAATGTTTTTAGCGAAAGATTGCGGAGTATTAAATTTTCAGTTAAATGAACTTTTTTTAATAAAAAAATCTACTTTTTGATGAATTGAAGTTGATGAAAAAAAAAAAATTATAATTACTTTGGTTCATCGGCAGATGTATATGTTGTAAACCATTTAACGTGTGCTATTCTTCCCTGATGATCTACGGTTTGTATTACCCCATAATCACGATGACTAAAATCGAGATCTTCTTTGGCTGATATAACAAAATCTCCAGGAAAAAATTCCTAAAAATATTTAATTTATATTTATCTTATAATTGATGTCTATTCGAAAACTCACATGATTATCCAAATGATGTATAGGATACAATTGGGTAGAGGGTATATCCGATTCTATAGTACCATCTTGCCACACTACCGTAGCAGTACTATAAACCAACAAAGCTTCTGTGACAAGTTCATCGCCTTCCTTGGGATTAAAGTCCGTACAAGGTTCGGATAAAAATGGTTTTTTAAAATTTTTACGAGTCTTTTTCTTTAGCTGACGTTTGGTCAGATGCTTGGGACTCGTATGTGGCGAGGGACTTGAACACGTTGACATTGTTGTTGTAGTACTAATACAATCTTCCGTATATTGTTTTAGATTTTCAACGAAATTATCAATATCCATGGCATTAATATCACATTTATCTTCATCGATTTCGGCCTCATCTTCTGTGGAAAACCACTCGGCCTCGGTATCTTTATTACTTTTTGGAGTTAGCTTTTCCTGTGGGTTCATTTCTTGTGAAGTTTCTCTCTTACCCAATTTGTCGCCTTTAAAAAGACTTCTCTTAAGTTTATTGCTGGTTTTGTCGTCTAAACTTAAACTCAGCTTTTTCTTGAATTTTTCATAATGATGATGTGTCCCAGCCGTTCCCGTTGAACCGGTAAAAGAAGTGCGCACAAATATTTTTTGGTTATCCTCTTTTTGCTGTTGTAGGATCTGCTTAAACTTCGCAGCTTGCTCCTTGTCCCAGTCGGCTTTCTTAACCAGGGTATCACAGGATGAATAGGTTAAATAATTACGATCAACAATCTGCAACATACAAGACTCGAATAGATTTAAGCGCTTTAGACGTTTGAGATCCTCGCCTGTTACGCAGGGATTGGGTTGCATGGTAATGTCTTCTAAATTAGTGTCATCCGAAAGAGCTTTACATTGCCAATTAACCCAAACGCTATCGGTATAAAGACTTTCGATGGTAAACTTAAGAAAACAGTTTTTAAGTATTTTAAATATTATTTTCTTTGTTAAAATTTGTATTATTTTTTAAACCTACCTTTCTGGTTAAAGGTTTACCCTTTTTATTTGTATGTAATGGTATATCTGGCGTTAGAATTTTTATATTCTCCATGGGTGGCAAACTACCTATAATTGTATTGCCGGGATAAAATACTTTAGGATTAAAAATATCCCGTTGACGATGTGAGTTTAAATCTTGAAAGTTGTAAAAATCGTTTGATGAGATTTCTATACGACAACCAGAAGCCGTTCTGAATGAAGAAACATGTATAATTTATTTATTATATCCCATTAATTTATAGTATTTTTATTTATAAATTCACCTTAGTATGGCTTTTTCTTCTACATCCTTTGTACTACCAACCCATGAGTCCAAACAAACCGCACCATCACGTTGCCAATTGGAAATAACTCTTAAACGCTCAGCGTTTACATTTTTAATAACAAATTTAGTTCCGAGCACCTTTACATCGGCCTTCATGTTAATATCACGACAATATCCTCTTTGGGTTTCTTTTCCCGGCACTAAACGTCTGACCACATCACCAGGCATTAATGTACGATCGGCTAAGCCAATCTACAAAAAAATAACGAACAATTCTTAGACCTTAGGGTACAGTCTTGGAAACCAAAGTATTTTAATTTTAAATTTATGAAAGTCTTATAAAAAAAATTTTGTAAAAATATAGATGCAATCTAAATAAAATATGATAACCATTATTAAGTTATTTTCAGCTTAGAAAATAGTTCTACCCTGTTTTAGAATTTCACTAAAATCCCTTATTAGAATTCTTCCCCAAACAACACCAATTTTTTTCTTTTAATAATTTTCACTTACCGAATTTTCCGATTGTATGGTTTCCTTAAATTCAGGATACCAAACAACACGTATTTCACCCTTATCTAAAATTTCATCAAATTCATCATCTTCGTCACCAGAATATGTGCCAGGTGTTTCAAGGACTAGACCAAATTTAACACGACCCTTTTTATCAATACGAAAAATTTCATCCTCGAAAAAATATTGACAATCGCCTGGGGTCGATGACGAGTCATCTCCGCGTGTTTGACCAGCAACACTCTTATGGGGAGAATTCGTTGTTGTATTGTGATTTTCTTCGGCCAGCAATTTGGGTGAGGCTCCTGATTTGTTTTTAGCTAATTTTGTTTCATTCGAAGAAGTTTCTGATGATGATTCATTATTATGTTGTTCTGATGAATTTTCTATGTTGGTAAATTCCTTATTTATGGATTGGACAATGTTGTTGGCATTATTTTTTAAATTATTGGACTCCTCATCATTCGTTGTAGAGGTCACTACTTCCGTTTCCATTATATCGATATTTTGCAAATATTTTTTTTTATTTATCCTTTCGTTTTCACTTCTCTTTATTATTATATTAAAATTATTTTTCTTTTTTCACAAATTAATTTTTTAGCACTAATAAATTTTATTCGATTTTTTTTATAAAAAATTTTCTTTGCCAAAAAAGTTAACGGAATTAATTTTTTTCGGCAATATATTATGGCAAACGAGAATTTATTAAAAAACCAAGAATGAAAGCGAAAGAGAAGAGACAAAAAGAAAATTGTCTAATTTATAATTAGAGTTGCCTAGTTCTTTTATTTAGCTAAGGAAAGTAATCCGATTGGAATAAATATATGTATACGAAAACTAATGGTATTTTTATAATCTGAATGGTTTATTAAGATAGGAATCACTATGGTCGCCAAACGATAAGCTCCCCAAGTAAAATTCTTCTAATTTGGTCTTACATTTTGACGTATAAAACGATAACCCTAAAATTGCTTATATGCGAAAACAGTGATGAAAACATCCCAGAGGAGAAAGGTAATGCGCCCATCCACACGAAATGACAATATTAAAAGAAAAATAAAATTTTAAATAAAATCTGTGGCTATCTTCAGAAGTTCCAAATTATTATATATTGTTCAAAATCAAAAATGGTTTTCCAGAGAAAAATATTTAATATAGTCCGTTTCAAATTTTCTGAATAATTAGACTCTGGTAACTCTTACGCTAAGCTATCAATTTCTATTGAATGAACAGTACTGATGCAAATTTTTATAAGGTGTCAACGGCGACACTTCTTATTATAAAATTAAAGTAAGGATATGTCAAAACACATATATAAGAAATATATATAAAGACACTGAAATGTCAAACGTTATTAATAAATTAACCCCGGCTGACACCTTGTTAAAATCTACTTCAACAATCTGTTGTGAAAACAAACACTACTCTACGGAACAAATTTTGCACATTTTCCTAAAAATTTCAATTTTTTTAAGTTAAATATTAAGTTAATCTGTTAAAAATGACAGCCGTTCCACCACCTACAAATGTTTCCACCTTGTTGCCCCTTGGTAAGCTCAAACAAACAAAAAATATAGAAAATAAAATCATATGAATTTCTTTTACAGAATTAGTGGACAAATGCATTGGTTCTCGCATACACATTATTATGAAGAATGATAAAGAAATGGTTGGAACATTACTGGGATTTGATGATTTCGTTAATATGCTGCTGGACGATGTGACTGAATATGAAAATACGCCTGAAGGAAGACGTATAACAAAGTTAGACCAAATTCTTTTGAATGGCAACAATATAACTATGGTTGGTAGCAATCACTTAGGAGGAAAGTTTACATTTTAAATGTATAATTATTTCATTTACAGTTGGTGCCTGGTGGTGATATACCGGAGTAGTGTTTTCCCGCGTGCTGAAATAATATATTTTTTTACTTCATTAAATTAAGAAACCCCATAAATGATTTGTTTCTGTTTTCGAACAATCGACTTTTTGTCGAAAAAGTCGACTATCTTGTATCTTTCTAAATAAAATTTGAAACGGCGATAATGTCAATAAAAATCTGATTTTTTGCATATTTATTGCAAACACACATAATAAAAAAATAAGTCTAATATCTAAAACCTACAAAAACCAATTCAATAATGTTTCTATTTTTATAGAAAAATTTAAACCCAGGAGGGATTAAATATTTAACATCAAAAAGTGAACAAATTCGGATAATGTCGATATAAAAAAAGTTCGACAAGTCGAGTAAAGGATTTTGTAAATAAAAATTTATATTTTTTTACTGACCTATACCCGTCTGTAACAAAAAAATCGAATTTAACAATGTGTCTGTTTTTATAGCAAAAACAATTTAAAGGTTTTTATATAAAAACATAAAAAGTCGACTTTCTACAGAAAATGCAAAAAAATGGCATATTCCAAAAATGTTCAATTATAAAAAAACACTTTAGCGAGTTTGGTGCTGTCCAAGAGGAATAAAAATAAAAAGTTCTTTCAAATTATAAAAAAATATATTATAATATTAACAAAATTTTTATTTGAGCGATATATTTAAATAAATATATGTATATATGTACATACATTTAAAAAATTCTTCATTGGTAACCATGATTTGTTCTACACTTTTATTTAGCATTACGTTAACGAAATAATTCAAAAACAATCATTTTTAATATAATTCCCAATAACTTATTTTATAATACCAGGATACAAAGGTAATAATAGTACTAAAAAATACAACTGTGTTTTGTTTTTTTCTCTTTGACAAGCCAAAAATAAGTCAAAACAGTTTTGCAGCTGTCATATCTATAAAAAGATAAATTGTGAAAATATTTTCAGTAATTTCTCTCAAGAATATAATAATTTTAATTTTGAAAACCAATTTAACATTGTTTTAAATAATTTTATACTTCTGAAACAATAAATAAGACTAAAAAGAAATGTCTAGTGATGAAAATAGGTCAGTATTTTTCTAATTACTAATGTATAAAACATATTGAGGTTATGTTTTCTGTACATTTTTCGTTTACATTCATTAACGTATACATAATTTTGATACCACCTATCTATCCTTTTGTTGCAGTTATGACTCCAATAATGAGGATGGTCCGGAAGAGAAACGTTCCAAACATTCTACAGGCTCACATCACAAGAAATCGAAAAAACACAAAAAACATAAGAAATCTAATAAATCTGACAAATCGCATAAAAAACATAAAAAATCTAAGAAGAGACATCGCCACCATTCCCATTCATCGTCGGATTCGGCTTCGGAGGATGAGTCAACAATGGTGGAGAAACGAAAGAGCGGTGCTATTAATGAGAAATTTACGGAAATAATGAAAAAAGCTAATAAAGATAAAAATTGCGCTTTAAGGGTGGAACATGATGTTAAAACAAATAAATTTTTGATAACAAAACCAAACATACAGACCGATCCGTGCAGTTTGGTGGAGGAAATTACGAAGACAATACAGACAAAGGTGTTACCAGTTATGGAAGTTGTGTCATCCGGTAGCGAAAGTGATGTGTAAGTTAAAAATCATTACGAAAACAAACATTTCCTTGATAATTAAATTTTAACAATTTTCAGACCTGTTGATGTAGCAAGTCCTGATTTAGCCATAATAGAAGATGATCTCAATTTAGATGAATTGATGAAGCAAAAAGCCCTTTTACAAGCTCGCTTAGGTGCTTATATGTCAGACACTGAAGGTGATGGCAGTCGCTCAGGCTCATTGGCTAAACGTCCCTTGCCAGAGATTGACTTAAACTCAAAGAAGTTGCCTTCTCTGCCCAATACTGGTATTGATAAGAACAAAAAGATTGAACAAAAAATTCCATCATCAACATCATCTGCAACTAGTAAAATTAATTTAAATAATATTTCTAAAGAAAAAGTTACAAATGAAAACGATGTTATATTATTGGATGATTCTAGCGGTGGTAATGACACACCGGTGGAGCAACATTCGGCCAGTAGGGAGCGATCACGTAAGGTAAGACATTCAAGTGAACATGATCGTAGGTCTGGTAGAGGACGTAAATCAGTGACACCACAACCAACACACACGGTTAAAGAGAAAAGCGATAGACGCTCTTCAAGAGATGTTCGAGATCATCATCAAAGGCTCTCACAGTCGGAGCGTTATGCACGCAATAATCGAAGTCGAAGCCGTTCTACAGGCCGCCGAGTAGATTCACACGATAGACGCCATCATGTAGAGGGTGATGAAGATCGTAATCGTCAGCGTCATAGAGAACATTATGATCAAAATCGTCAAAAAGAAGATCTACGACAAGAAATTAATAGAGATAAATTGCGCGAACGTGATACCAGCCGTGATCGTGATAATAAAGGACGTGATGAGAGAACAAATCGTGCTGTTGAACGTAGTGGTGGTCCTGCGAACAACCGTGGTCAGGATAGGGGACGTGATAGGGATCGCAATAGAGAGCGAGAAAGATGGATGCGTGAGAGATCACATAGTCGTAGTAAAGCCGAATCAGATCGCAAACGTGAACGAGAAAGAGAGCGTCAACGATCTGGTCGCGATCGTTCTGAACGTAACGACACTAAGGATCGCGATCGTTATCGTGGTTCTCTCAGTGAGGGACAAAAGGCTCAACAGAAGGACTCCAGTAGCGATGAGGAGGTTAATATAAATATAAACATTGATGAAGACGACGATGACGAAGAGAAAATCATTGAAATGAGACGCAAACAACGTGAGGAATTGTTAAAGGTAAGTTGGCCTGTTTAATCAGAAGAAATTAAATTGCTTTTATAACAGCATTACTTTACAGAAATTGGCCGGATCAAAACAAATTGATGCACCAAAACCGCCAGCACCATCTGCCCAGTCCAGCTCATCATCTTCCTCAGCCACCAACTCTAATAATGGTAGTGATAAACGTAAAAATTCATATAGTCCGGAGAAAAAACTTTCTCCAACAAAACAACGTAGATCTCGTACACGGTCACCGTTGACATCGGAATCGTCGTCTCGTCACCCCACAGAACAAAATGATGTTACGCCACCAGACTCTAAAGAAGATCAAGAAAATAATAACAAATCTATCAATAATAAGGAAAAAGAAAAAAGACCAGAATGGGATATGTTTGCAGATCAAGATGTTGATTCCAATTTCGATGTGAGTCGTTGGCTTGTAAATTTCAGACTAATTATAAAGATTGTTCAAATAAATAATTGCAAAAAAACACTTAACGATTGGAAATTAATGACAGTTGTTTTGCTTTTTTACAGTCTCCAAGTACCATAGTACAAAATAAAAATATGGCTGAAAATCCAGCTCTTACTGATAATTGGGATGATGCCGAAGGTTATTATCGAGTACGCATTGGAGAAGTCTTAGATACTCGTTATGTTGTTTGCGGCTATACGGGTCAAGGTGTTTTCAGCAATGTTATACGAGCACGTGATCAAGCAAGAGGAAATGCAAACGTAGCGGTTAAAATTATACGTAATAATGAAATCATGTAAGTAATGGATGAATAAATTTATCATTTTATGTTCTAAAAATATTTTGCTTTCAGGCATAAGACTGGCTTGCGTGAATTAGAAATATTAAAGAAACTTAACGATGCCGATCCGGATGATCGTTTTCACTGTTTGCGCTTATATAGACACTTCTTCCATAAACAGGTTAGTTAAGAATTGAACATCTAATGTCCCGATATTTAATGACATAATTTTATTACAGCATTTGTGTATGGTGTTTGAACCATTGGCAATGAATTTACGTGAAGTTCTTAAGAAATATGGCAAAAATGTTGGCCTACACATTAAAGCTGTGCGCAGTTATACACAACAATTGTTCTTAGCTTTAAAGCTTTTAAAGAAAACTGGTATATTACATGCTGACATAAAACCCGACAATATTTTAGTTAACGAAAATAACTTAATCTTAAAGTTGTGTGATTTTGGTTCAGCCTCCACCATAAATGATAACGAAATCACACCCTATTTAATATCAAGATTTTATCGTGCGCCCGAAATTATTTTGGGCATACCTTATGATTATGGTATTGATATGTGGTCGGCGGGATGTACTATTTATGAATTGTACACAGGCAAAATACTCTTTAGTGGCAAAAGTAATAATCAAATGTTGAAATATTTTATGGATTTGAAAGGTGGGTTGTTGTTTTTTTTTTATTAAGGGTTTATAAGTTGTACATGATGATGTCTAATGAAATGTTTAACTTTTTTTATTTTAAGGTAAAATTCCTAATCGCATAATACGTAAAGGACAATTTAAAGATCAGCATTTTGATCAAAGTTGTAATTTCCTGTATCATGAAATCGATAAAGTTACAGAAAGGGTAAGTTTTAATTTAATATTATTTATATATTTATGATAGATTTTGGGGTTGTTGTTGTTGAGGTAACAGATAAAACTATACATTAATCTAATTGGGGGGTTCTACATCAATGTTCCGGCCTAAAAATTGCGTTACTTCAACTGGATGTGTCCACAAATCCATTGGACAAAGCGAAGTAGGGTTAGCTGAGTAGTTTAATATGTGGTGGGTGTCATGAGAACTTTGGCGGGCAGGTTGAGTGAGTGTTTTTGCAGATGGTCACAAAATTCTCGTGATGAACGTTAATCATCTTTTGTCTATGTAATCGAATGATATGGTGTTACTGATTTACTTCTTCTTCCAAATCTAAAATTATCCTTTTAATTTTAACTGATAATTTTTGTATATTTATAATTTGTTTTCCTTTACTTTAGGAAAAAATTGTTGTAATGCCGGTCATCAAAGCTTCACGAAACTTACAACAAGAATTAATAGCCGACCAAAATCTACCCGATGATCAGCATCGTAAAGTGACACAACTAAAAGATTTACTGGATAATATGTTTGCTCTGGATCCCTCTAAACGTATTTCATTGAATCAGGCTCTAACACATCCTTTCATACAGGAAAAGATGTAAACTCACAACAGCAAATTCATTACCCACCAACATTTGGCCTTTAACAATGGAAAATGGCTTAAAATACAAAGACAGACAAGAACTTGGTTAAACAAAGTTAAATGTAATTTATTCCTCTTTATAAAAAAAACTTCATTTATTTTTAAATTTTAGTATCTAATAATTAAAAGTTTTTTTTCAAAAAAGAGAAAAGTACTTTATGAAAAAAGTAATTGAAAGTAGTTAAATTGGCAAAATACATTCAGCAAACAAACAAATCGTTTAAGAAAAAAGTGAAAAAAACATGAAAACAAAAGTTTGGTTTAATAGTATTGACTGCTGCTTTGATTTTAGAATTTGTGTAAAAAGTTAAATGCAAACAGCAAAAACAAACAAAAATCATTTAACAGAAAAAAACTTAATTTATTTATTAACTTCTAATATAAAGCATGCTGTTTAATTCAGCTGTTAGTTAACTAAAGTTGATACAAACTATATACAGAACATACCTACACACATACTTATATATTAAACATATATTCATATTAAAATTGTAGTGTTTTTTCTTCTTTTAAACTATTTTATAATTAATAAGCCTATTAAGAGATATTTGTTTAGTAAAGATTTTAATTATTGTCTATAATGACCAAGAAATGAAACCAAAAAAAAAAAAAAAAAAAACAAAACAAAAAACAGCATGTATTTGTATTTTATTCTTTTTCAACTTGTTGATTATTAGTTGGCACGTTTTACTAATCTCTTTACCTTTTCAGAATGGAGTCTCAAAAATTAAGATGATGCTATTTCACCATCAGCAGAGGATAGAACTCTCTTCCAAACTAAACATAAAAAGTTTACACAAATAAAATTTTTGAGAAAGAGTACAACTCTGGTAATAATATGGGCAATATCTCTATCAATCTATATAATTTTGTTTATTTAACTTAAGAATCATTTAATTATTTTCAAACCCGTTTTTCCAACAAAAAAAAAAAAAAAAAAGAAAACAAATTAAATGATTCTTTTAACAATAAATTTTTGTTATATTGTTAAATATTCTCCTTATTGCACTTTCACTAAAGTGTTTGTTGTTTTTTTCTCTTTTTTCGAATTTACAGAATTTTGATTGCCGTTATTAATGTGTGTGTGTGAGACTTTTCAAAGAGATTTTTGTTAGAAAAGTGTTTTAAAAGTAATTTGGTATAGAAATGTCGTAAGTCGCTAAAGTTTTATTGAACTTGATGCATATTATTTAATTAAATAATTTATTTTTCTCATTTAATTAGGTGATAAATTGGAGAAATCTTGATGTTTGACCAGGCATGTTACAGAGTATGTCATATATAAATGTAACAGGTTTGAATTAAATTATTATTGATTTATTTAAAAAATTATTTTGGATAAAAACACATTTATGCGTAATAATATATTACTGCAAATTATATACTTATGAAAAAACTACGGGCAAAACAATTATAACAAAATTTTGCACCAGTCACCTTAAACGCAAACTGCCCTATCGAACATTTTGAAAATTTTACAGGAGATCTATTTTTTCATTAATTAACAAAATTTTTAAAGGTACAACTTCTCAGTCTAACAGGGAAGTATTGAGGGTATTTCTGATCATTTAGTTGCGACCTCGGACTTCGAAGATATACCATCAATAATAGTGTTTTCTAGTAGGGATGGGTGGATTTGGTCCGCAAAGATCGAAAAAAGTAGAAGCAATTTAATTTCCTTTCAATGCTTTACGATTGTGTGTATTCTGTATTACGATCGTAGCTACGTTTTTGTAAATTGTTGTTTATGTGGCGAAGAGTCGAATTGAAAAGCACCCAGCAAAAAAAGACGTGCAAAAAAGTAGTAAATGCATGGGTTGAACTGATAATGAACTGGTTCATATTTAGGGGAAACATGCATGATTTTAACATTAGCGTGTCATTGGCATGCATGGGTTCGTATTTGCAGAAATAGTTCGTCATTTAAATGAGTTCTTATAACCAATGAATATTCGATGATTCTCAAGCGAATTTTCATTGGTGCACTATATTTATTTAAAAATGCATTAAAGGTATTTCGATTTAATTATCAATTTTTAAATAATTTTTTTGAGTGATATTGACAAAAATAGAATAAGATAAAACATAACTAACTGATTTTGATTGGATTTAAATTCATGCAGAGGAAAAATACCCATTGTGTTTTAAAATCCGTTAAGCAGTCTCGGTTTTTTCCTTCTTTTATTAATGGACTTAATATTACTAATTTTAATGGACTTAATATTACTAATTTTAACAAAAATCTAATAAAAAAATTAATGTCACTTTTAATCTTTATTGTATGAAATGCACGTTTTCGTTAAATCTCCTAAGAGAATACCAAATTACAGTAAAATATTACAATTCCTATAGTGGAGTTACATGAGTGAATTTGGGTGTATTTTTCATGCCTTCACTGATGACAAATTTATTAGAATTTAGGCATGTATTTAAAACGCATTAAATAGAATACTTACTAAAGAAATCATGAAAATATCTCTTCTTCTTTAACAACTTCAAAATTTTTTTGCTGGGCAGTGTACCAAAGTTTCGATTCGAATTGAAATGCAGAATAAGGTTGACTGTTTGATGGGTGGGCAGAGATCCAAGATGGAATCCAGCACATGGGTTGGAGTTTTTCTTTACTATGGTGTCGGAAGTAGGTAACCCTTTATAATGATAGTCAGGCAGCTTTAAGAGCTTTAAAATTTATCATGGGCCGGAAGTAACGATTTATGTTGGTAGGCAGCTCTTAGAGCTTTGCAATTTAAAGACATACCAACCGATCCTGGCACAGTAGGATGGATTACAGGCTCTCTAAGGACAATCTTTCTTCCATGTCCATTTTCTTCCTTTTTACCAATCTGGAGGAGATTTTTTTTTTCATATCTTGCTCTCTCATGTTCTTTCTTAAAGGGAATCACAACGGACTCTTTGGATCTCCGAGTGGGTACACACCGTATGGTATACATTCCTTTTAAACTTAACTAAAATAAAATCCATCAGTTTTGAGAATTGACAATGTTGTTGTTGAAACAGTTTGACTATGGCGGATAGTTCTTTACTGGGGTAAAGAAACGTTCGGTTGATTGAGCTGTCGCTCAAAGGGACTAGGGTGGTTCTGGAGCGAAGATCCAATTGTCTAAAATAAGGCCTGATTTGTTTATAGTGGCAGATTTTGGTATGTGAAGTCAAAATTTGTATACCTTACCCCACTACAGTGAGTAGGGTATTATGCGTTTGTGCTGATGTTTGTTACATCCAAAAATATTGGTCCTACACCCGCCTTAAAGTATACCAATCGGCTCAGAATCACTTCGACTAAGCTATGTCCCTCTGTCTGTCTGTCCGGCCGTCTGTGTGTTCATGTAAACTTTGTGTGTAATTTTCAAGATAATTTGAAATAATTTTGGACCAAGGTCGAAGCCTATTGATTGAAATCGCTCCGGGCTTTTGAGCTTATAATTATGTTAAATGTTGTAGAATCTCTACAAAAAATGAAATCTTAATTTTATATAAGTTTAAACGATTTTCGTAATAAACTGGCCTCATTTGACCCTAGTCCCCTTCCAAAAATGACGTGAAGGTGAAAATTTACTTTTAAACACTAATATCACGTTGAAGTTCTGCATAAATAACTGTCAACATAAATCGCTTTACCAAAACTTATACGGATATGACCATATTTACCTTTGTCCCCACATAACCCCAAATTCAGAAAATCACTTTTTTGGCAAGAAATAGTTAAAATATTTATGTATTTCGAAATTAAATTAAAATGCTTTATTATTAGAAAAATAATTCACACTTTTAACATACTGGTGTAGGGTATCATATGGTCGGACATGTTTTTGTGAATATTTGTTTTGATACAATACATCAAAATCAATTATAAAATCGATTTGTATTTTTGGTTATATAGGGCAGTTTGCTTTTTAGCTGACGATTTGTAGAAATCGATATAGAAAGGGGAATATATCGATTTTATAAAATACAATTATGTAATTATTTTGTATTTATAATGAAAATGTTAAAACGTTCACCGAAACTACAATGCAAATATTTCTAATTATTGATAATTACGGTACTGCTACACCTTTAATATAAATTGATCAATTTGGATCACGACCTATTTAAATACATTGATAAATACCTCGGCTATACTGCACTTTCAATATTTATCGCGTCAGTAATTACATTATTTTGTAGTACCGGAATTTCGGTAATAGCTGTATTTTAGTTTATTTCGGTAACGCTAGTAGTGCTGATTAGAGGTAACAATGTTTTGTTGTGAAAATGCATATCGCAGTAAGAGACAGTCAATATATTAGTAGCTGAAAGGTATATAGATTAATTATCTGATGATATATGATAAATCCAAGTTATAGTCACAGTAAATTATTCCTGAATAATGATTTCATATTACAAGCGGCATGAATACTACTTTGTAGAACAAATCATAATATCACAATATAGTTGTATATACATACATGATATCATGGGGCAAATATAGAAAACATGATAAATTTAAACTATTTTTTATTGTACTATACAAAGAATAATAAGAAGTTGGACTATGACATTGTTTTACAACAATAACATTTCCTTCTCTTCACAGACGAGTTCTGTGTAAATTCAACACACTTGTGAGAACTCAATTCTCTCACAATACTTCAAAACTTTTTCGCGAAAATACCGGGATAATAGGACTTGAACGACGTTTTTTCACAAACACATAACTATTTTTTAATTTTTTACACAATTTTATCGCATTTAACAATCCGAAATATTTTTATTTTTCACAAACTAAAAAAAAATTTTTTTAATTTTTTTGACAATTAATTTTTGTGTGTTGAAATTAAAATTGACAAAACAAAGTTGTATGTTTTGGTATTGAAAATGAAAAAATTATTTAAAATAAACTTATTTTTTTGCAAAAAAGAGATTTTAAGTCCGAAAAAAATATTTATTAAATGTTTACTGATTAGATGTGGGCAAAATAAATTAAAAAATCTGCGAATGTAGAAATTTAAATGTTATTTATTTTTCCTAAAATTTTTATGTACGATTTTATGCAAGTACGTATGTTTGAAAAGTGTGGTGAAAGTGGTTGGAGCTCCAATACTAATACAAAAATTCTACCAATACATACTTAGAGTTAGGTACCGAATGACAACTCCTTTACGTACCAACTGACAAGCCCCAATTTCTTTATATTCTTTGGTACTATAATTCTCAAATTTTAAATTTATACAAAAGATATTCCCAAATCATAAAAAATTAATTAGTTACACAATTACTATTTTGGTCTTTACTATTAAGCTTATAAAAATTTCTTAAAAATAAGTAATTCAATAATGTAACCGTTTGAAAACTTATTCTTATCCGAAAATTTAAATGTTAAAATTCGGATAATAACAAGAAATCAAACAGACATAATCAAATTACAATATTTCTACGGTTCCAATCATCAACTATTTCAACCTAATTAATCCATAATTCATACGTTATCACAAGACACTATCATGGGTGGTGCTTTCGGAGAATGGCGTATACCGAAAGAATAAGCTGGAGATGATTTACCCGGCTTATAGTTTGTGCGATCGTATGCATTCGAACCAGGCACAATAGATTTGTCAATAATTTTTGAGCGGGGATACATGGAATATTCTGGTGCTTTAAGCATTGTTACTTTTAAATTACTAGCAGGATAATTAGCCGGTCCTGGAGAGCCGGCCTTATCTTTTAAAGCTGTCTTTATGCCTCTACAAATATAAAAATGTTGTATAGATAAGAACTGAATAATTATAAACTAACAGATTGATTCTATACATGCTATAAGCCGGAGCTGATTTTTTAACCACGCCATCTTTAATGCCATAGGCATTAGGTCCGGGGCATACATTTTTGAAACGAAAATTGTCACGACGACCCATAGAATATGAGGGTGGAGCTGTGACATTTACATAAGGTCTTTTTGATACATCATAATTCGCTGGGCCTGGACCTATATTTCTGGTATCTTTTTTTGTAAAATTTTTAATTTCTATAAAGTTTAAGTAAATAATATATCTATATGTACCTTTAACAAATGTCCTAGCCGCCATGCTGTACGCTTTACTGGTTACTCTTCCATAACGCGTTAAATTTTGCGTGTTAATACCAGGTCCTGGTGTTATACTAACATTTTTAACTTTCAATCGACCACCCATTGTATATTGTGGACTACGCTGTTTGCGCTGATCATGTTTTTCATAGCCGATTGTTGGGGGTAGAGAATAAGCAGGACCCGGACCTTTTAGAAATATGGTTTGAATATGATTCAATCAATTATATTGATTAATTTTACCTATTGAACCCATTGTATGCCAATTATGTTAGCAGATGAATTATACAATTAATTTAGATTTTTTAAATTTAGTCCGAAAACTTAAAGCTAAAAAAATAAAAGAAAATTTTTGTCGAGTAATGAAAATGAAGTAAATAAACATTTTAATTAAAAATATATATATTTTTTTTTTTCAAATTGTGACAGTTTAGGAAAAGTTATATGACCAGTGTGTACATTTAAACATGGTATAAAAAATATTAGATTAAATCATGCATTTAAACATCCATAAAATAAAGATCACTGAAAAACATGAGGATAAACAAGTTCTAACAAAGAGTTGTCTGTATTCTATATAAAACTACTATAATTATTTTTTCTTCAGTAAAATATACAAAAATTTATTGTAAACTTTTTAACTACATTTTTTAAATATTTATTTCATTTTTTATTTATCTGCATTAAACAAACGACCAATTTACAAAAATCAGGGAAATTGATTTTATGTTTATATCTTTAATGTTTTATATAATCTGGCAAAATTAAAGGTACCGAACGATTGGAGTAACGTCTACCAAATGAATATGATGGTGCTGTTCTTCCGGGCTTATAGTTGCTGCGATCATATGCATTTGCTCCGGGTACATGTGAAAAACGAATTTTCATGCGCGAGCCAATACTGTATTGCGGACTAGACGATTTCACCAAGGAAATATTGCTTGTATCGTATAATGCTGGTCCCGGTGAGCGGAAATTTTCATTGACTGGCACCATAATTGAATAACGACTTATGTTATTAAGTGGGCGAAATGACCCTGAATCTAGAATATTTTATAAGTTATATTTATGGTTGTAGAGGTAAGTATTTTAAACTAGCTGTGTTGTTTAATAGATACCATGGGAGTCTGCCATAATTTTGGGAGGTTAACTAATTTAATAATTTTTCTTTTTGCTTTAATAAATAAATAATTTAGAAATAAAATACACAATTGTTTTTTTTTTTTTATTATTAAAATGACAAGTTATAACCGGGTGGAAATAGAAAAAAATACATTTCATAAAATTTTACTGGTGCTAGCAAAGTACTTCAATTCTAAATTTAGAAAAACTGAAACTATCCAAATGAAAATAAAACCCTAATTTAAGCAGGAATAAGAATTTTGACAGGAAAGATTGTAAATAAAATTTTAATGGGAATCTTGTTTTATAAACTTTAAAAAAAATATAAATTTGATTATGAATATGAAAATATAAAAATGAAACCATAGTATATAATTTTAATTTATTCCAAATATTTTTCATTTAAATTAAAAAATATATTCAAACATTCTGCACATTAAATTTTAAGCAAAACAGCCAAAAGCATTATTTGTTTACTGTATGTAGTGATGTGTGTCGCTAATCGTTGCAATTGTAATTATACATACAAAATGCCTATCAAATTTGACACATCTCTATACAAATATTGTTCCATCCCTAACAAACTTGTGTCGTATCACTGCAGAAGAAAAAAATCAAAACAAAACAAAAAAATATTTTCACCAAAAGGCTTCAAGGAACAAAAACAATCTTTACACAATGTCTACTCAAACAACTCCAATAAAAAACACGAAATCAAACGAACCATACCCTTATCCAAATTGCTGGCAAGATGATGCCCGTGTCCAAGTGCTATTGGCTCCATTTCGCGACCGTAGTGTTAATCCGGAAAATTACGACTCAAAAATGAAATTTTGGCAAGACACTATACGAGAGTATTGTCTTTTTAAGGGTAAAGCCAATTTCTGTAAACAGGAATTACAGAGCAATTTCACTAAAGGCCAACGAGTGCCCTGTTGCCTAGATGCTGTATTGGTTGAAATGCAAAGACAAAAACTAATACGTTTACGCAAAGACTATGAATATGATCCGGAAAATAGTTGGTCCGGCTGGGCGGTAAATAGTTTTGTAAAGAAGCCATTATCTTGGGGTTTCGATAAAATTAAAGAGAAACTTGGTGCTTTGGATGCAGCACAAATGGGCTTAATACAGTTTATACATATGGAGGTTATTAGGGTAAGTCTTAAATTAACATGGTAGTTTCAACAATCCTTAAATTGTTTAGTTTTTCTTTTTAGCAATATTGCTCGGAGTTGTTGAATGTATTGCTACAGCCTCCCTACTTGGGTACACTTCATCACTATGACAATTTGTGTAAAGAACTTTGTCCTTCTTTGAATATATCAGAGGAATGTTTGCGTATTTGTCTTCATACTTTAAATGTTCAAAGGAAAATTGGTTTGGAATACAAGACAAATACAAATGAATTGCAAATTCATTTGGTAAAGATACCATGTAAGTATACATTGCTGTTTTAAACGTTAATTGGATAACCGGCAATTCCAAATAATCTATGTATATATTGGTTTCTATAGACTTTATTTCAAATCAGTAAATGCTTGGTAAAAATCTGAATACATATATGTATATCCTTATAAAATCTGTGTTAAAAAACATAGTAATTTTTCATATTCGACTTTCTTCAAATTGTAGCGAAGGAGGACCCTGATGTAAATATTACCCAAAACGATCATGCCATCCATAATTTACAAGTAACAAAAACGACTTTAGTTAAACAAATCGATGACATCGAAATGGAAATTAAAGATAATGAAAATAAGGCACGGCAATATATTAAGGAAAACAAAAGGCTACTGGCCAAAACCTATTTGCGTAAAAAACATTTATTGGAGAAAAATCATGGTAATTTTGGAAATTAAAAATGTTTATAGCTACTTACACTTATTTATACATTATCAACATTTACAGAACGTCGCAGCTTAGCTTTGCACAACATAGAAACACTACTGTCAAATGTTCATGAAGCCAAGTTGAATGGCGTTATATTGGATGCCTACAAATTTGGCTCGAAAGCCCTTCAAAATGCTCTCGATGAATCCAATCTCAAATATGATAATGTCGATGAAATTGTCTCAGATGTACGCGAAACCATGGATTCGTATAGAGAGATACAAGATACTTTATCTAATGCCAACTTGGATGAATCATTGGGTTCGCTGGCCGATGAAGATGAATTGGAGAAGGAGCTTAAGGAAATTATGGGTGAATCAATGTCCACAAACACACCAACTAAGAATGTAGCTGAGAATAACAATATTAGTGTTACCATGCCACAGAAGATAGAAATTACAGATGCGGAATTATTGGATATGTTGAATGGTTTAGAAATCGAACAAAACTCTCCTGGCAAAGATGTTAGTGGTGGGGTCTTGGATGCTTAGAGAAGTCTATTTGAGTTTGTATAACTTTGAAGTTAGAAAGTGTTTTAAAGTGTGTGTTTTTATATTACGATTATTGTTTGTTTTTGTATTTTTCTGCAATTTAAATAAAAATTAAAAAGAAATTGAAAATTTAAAAAATTTTCGATTTTGTTTGATCAAATTTTTATTGATTTATTTGGGACCTTTTTTACTAAATGATAATGAACATGCTAGGTCGCTTTCAGCTATTATGGAATAGAAAAGAAATATTTTTTTTGTACTTTTAAGATATAAAATTTGCACTGCTTAATTCATAAATTCGTATGTTTTACTTTCGAATTAAAATTGGGGCTAATCTTTTACCCCCCAATAAAATAATTAAACTACTTTTTGTTATAATTTGTTTTCTATTTAAATAATCTTTTTTGTATTTTATTTGTAATTATTTTTTTTTTTTGCACAATTCTAAACAATTGAGACTTTAACTCTATTTAATCTGACTGTATATATGAATGAGTTTTGATTTGAATTTATAACACAAATTTTGAAATTTAATAAAATCTAATTGCATTTACAAAGTAAATTCTATTTTAATTTATGATTAAAAAAAGAGCAGTATTTAACGACAATGAAACAAAAATGGAATTAACATGTAAATTCTATTTTTATGCACAGCCCATTTAAAACTGTAAATTATTGAAAAAAAACTGTTAATAGAATATTGAAAATCTTAAGATATTAAAAACACAAAGAGTATCAATTATGTTATGAGCAAAGATTTGATTTCTTATTAATTAACTCTACACAAAGACCTATTAGAAAAAATAAATTAGAAAAAAGTGATGTTTATTTGTTTGTGGTATCTTTAGCTAATTAAAGAAGACAAAAATTATATAAAATAAATAAATTTAATTAATAACTAAGAGTAAGTAAAGAAAATAATCTTTATGGGGTTAGAGTTGAAAAAGGAACAAAAATATAAAGTGATTTACTATTTCGAACAGTTTTCATAACAAACAAGTGTCAATTTTAAAGTATTTTAGAGATTTTAAGGGTTTTTTTTTTTTTTTTGAAAAATAGGCAAATATCACGCTATAAATATTTTAATATTACTAAATTATCATGTTGCTATTTGTTTTATAGACATTTTTAAATAAATGTCTATATAATGTTTATAATAAAAATGAGACTTAAAAGAACATTAATTTAAAAACGTCCATTATTTAACGCTTATGACGACCCCGTATAAATTGTAGGGTCTTTTGCATAAGGGGAGCTTTTTTGTTACGAATAGATGAAGCTGAAAATTTTCAAAAGTAACATAATTTTAACATTAATTTTGTAAATATTTTGTTTTTTATGTTTTAATACTTACAGACTTGAGCATGATCTCTAACAGTGGGTGCCACTCTAAGCCTTTGATCTCCAGTTTTAGCTGCATTAGGTGTTACACTAGAAAGTGAAGCTACACGTGCCGCTGGTGTGGCCACCATTTTAGATTTTGTTCCGAATTGTTCTTGTCTTTTCTGAATATTACGTGGGGGCTTAACCATTGAATCTACGAACGCTAATTGTGTTTTTCGCACAGGAGCTGCTGCTATCTTTTGGGATGCTTTTATAGAATCCTTTAGAACACTTAGTCTACGTTCGTCTTCTTCTTGACAACGCTGGTAACATTAATTAAGATAACTAGATTAAATTTTTTCTCGTAATTGAATAATTTTCTTTCGTACTTACAATGTACATTTCTCTCCACGATTCATTTTCAAGACGTTTCTTTGTACGATAGTTACGTGAAACATGTTGTTGCCATAAAACATCACTGTCTTCCATTAGATAGGGATTATATTCTTCGAAAACATACAACTGTTGAGGTGAAGCGCGTTCCAAGACCGGCTTAAGAACTTCAAAGGGCACACCACCAGTGTACTCCAATGCTGTATTTATAATATAGAATTTAATATAAGAACAATTTACCAATATTACTATGCAAATTACCATCAATATTCTTTTGCAATATTCTTATGCACATGTCAAATAGACTGGGTACTTGAAATGTTTGTCCAGTACGAACACCAGAATAAATTTTTGTTCTGACAATTAAAAAAAAAAAAATTGTGAAATAAATGAAACCACTACACTCGAATGAATCATATAATAAAGTACCTCATTGTTTTTGATGAAATACCATGAGTTATAGCTTCGGCATCGGTAAGGGTGCGCACAGGTCTGGATGAGGCAGCAGAGTTATTAAACACACAATCCATAACAGTTTGATTAAGCGGCATGGGCTTATAATTGGTGGATATTGTGGGCAATTCTAAGGCAATGCTAGGATCTAAAGGTTCTAATTTTGCAGATGGTGCCAGTAAATCCGGTTTCTGTGAAAGAAATGTTACACCTCATGATTTTTATCTAAATGTTTAAATAATTTAGTTTAACTTACCATTGCACTGGCTTTTGAAGTACTTGGCGTTGAGTATGATGATGAGGAATTGGAAGTAAATGCTATTCTTGTACCATTTACTTTGTTAGCAACAGTACTCCCACTACTACTACTGCTACTTGCTGTTGGCCTATGCGGTGTGGTAGTTTCCTTTTTAGCTGTACTACTGCCGCTGGCGGGTGTAGAGGGTGATTTCGTTGACTTTTTGCTCTTCTTGACCGGCATATTCAACATGCCCAAGACATCATCAAAATTGGCACCCATCGATGAATCAAAACTATCATCTGCTACTTCTTCTTCTGCCGCCTGCAGGG